ATTAGAAAATGGATTTCCATGGTCAATTTTAGATAAAATTTTATGTCATTGGCAAGTTGAGTAAATTTTACATATTTTTTTTTTTAATATTGTTCAGTATTGTATATTCTATGAAACTTTTTTTTTTTTTTTTTTTTTTTTTTTTTTTTTTTTTTTTTTTTTTAGCATAAAAATGGTCTCCCATTAGATTTCAAACTTTTGCCATTAACAAACTACCTTTCATTAATCTGTTAATTGAGTGTTTGTTGTTCCTCAATATAAAATAGGATTGTTTTTGGCATAATGGTAAAAATACTGAGCTTTGAATGAAATAGCAATTTCATCTTAAACAATCGGAATATAATTCTTGATCTGGAACATGTTTCAAATAAAACTACAACTAATGAAATCCTTTTTCTACCAATAAAGTAATGCTTCTTATTTTTCCTTTGCAAACAGCAATATTTAAAATTAAATACTTGAGGTTTTATGCATTGTTTTCATCTTTTAAACATTGATATTGTGAATTTTCTTATGTCAAGTATATTAACAACCAAATTGAAATTCTCTTTTTTAATGCTGTGTTAGTCACCTTGGAGTCAGACGCTCAACTCTTGAGCGACTGTGCGGTTGTACTCTCTTCCTACGGGCGGGAGGAACCCAAGGAGGCTACGCTGAAGGGCGGAGTCTCCTTCGGGAGGTAAAATCGCCCTGAACCCGTTTATACGGGTTCAAATGGGTTATTTTTTGGCCGAGCCTAATGGCTCGGGAATGCCCACATTAAAAAGGCCTTGTGCCACATGACACCCTCGTGGGGGGGTGACTGAATATCGTCACCTTGGATTTCTGAAAAATGCATAGTCCCCCCTTTGAATTTGCCTCCTTCAACAACTGTGTTACACTGTGTGTGCTACACACACCTTCATGAGTCAGGAGTGTACTGGGAGGGAGCAAAAGAAACAAATTTCCAAATAGGATTTACAAGTACTTTAAAAATTTGGGGGTAACAAAACACCCCATATGACTAACACAAGGTTAAGAAAAAAATTCAATAACAATTAAGAAAAAAAAAATATTAAGCAATGAAATTAGCAATTAAAAATGTAATTTCATAAATAGCAATGATTTGTCAAGGAGTAACAGCCTTTTGCTGTAGCTGTCAGCCATTATTTTTTTATTTTTGGGAGGAGGGCCTTTTAAGGTATTGGTTAACTGTAGATTTGAACAGGTTAAGATTGAAGTGATCAGGGAAGCATCATCTGGGGAGATGGTTCCATAAGGCAGCAGTTTGTGGGAAGAAACTGCTCAAGTAGAACTTACATCTCACCAATGGAATACAAAGAGAATGAGGGTGGTTTGTTACATTTGTATTCATTGTTCTGTGTTTATATACACAACACAATCCTTAAACACAAATGTGGAAACTTTCAAAACAACTCAGAAAAAAATAATGTAATATAATAATATATAATATAAAATAATATACAGGGTGTTTTAAAAAATTTGATATCCTTTGAGATGTAAATATCACAGAAAGTACATGATTAAGGCAAATGAAATTAAAAAGTATTAATGTTGAAGATCATAAGATTTATTCTTCCAAATCTGAATGAGAAATTCAAAAGCATGTGGATTATGTGAACGATTTCACGAATGTTCAATATGCGTACCGCCTGAGACACGGCATTTTTATACCTGGAAAGAAAAAGATTAAAGATTAAAGAACATAAAAATACAAAAACATAGACATAAAAACATAAAACAAACATTAAACATAAAGATGCTATTAAAATTTGAAGTCATTTGAAGGAGATCTAACAAAGTTATTAGATTGCGAAATGATATCAAATTTTTTGAAACACCCTGGATAATAATAATATAATCTAAAATAATAATAATATATAATATAATAATAATAATAATATACAGGGTGTTTCAAAAAGAATACGCCAAAATCATTACACTGTTTTTTCAGGTCTATAGCATTGTAGTGGACTGAATCGGTGGTTATTTGATAGAGTAGTTATCAAAGTTTGATTGTCAGTTTCACTGCTGTCTTTAGTATAACTTCCGGTGCAGCTACAAACAGGACAAACCTATCTCGAAATGCTCCAAAAATGGCTATTCACTTTACTGCAAGCTGATTCGAATGACTTCATTTTTCAGTAAGATGGAGCACCACCCCATTGGCATCTCGGGGTTAGAGCTTATCTGAATGAAAATGTGCTTCAGCGATGGATTGGGAGGAGAGGTGCTAAAGACCTTGCTCTCTGTGCTTGGTCTGCCAGATCCCCGGACCTCACTGTGTGGGACTTTTTCTTGTGGGGGTATGTTAAAGACCAAGTTTATGTTCCAGCACTTCCAGCAAGTATCGATGATTTGAAAAATTGAATAACAGCTACAATCAACACGGTGGAGGCACGTTTGGGAAGAAGTCTCATATCGGCTTGATGTTGTCAGCACTGCCAGTGGTTGCCACATTGAGCATTTATAAAACATAAAATGAAACTTGAATGTATATATAACACATGTGTTCCTGCTAGAGGTTTGTAATTTTTTTTTCGTTTTTGACATATCACGCGATGATTTTGGCGTATTCTTTTTGAAACACCCTGTATAATATAAAATAATGATAATATATAAAATAATAATATATGAAATGAACTTTGGCAATTTTACTGTTAACATAAAACAACGAATTTGTAAATTTGAAAAATTTAATAGTATAACTTATCAATATTATTTAAACAAACATATTTGAAAGAATTATTGCAGCCAAAATGCACCTTTTATTTGGCTGAGTGGTTAGAACATTCACTTCTGACAATGAGGCCCAGGTTTGTATTTCACTATAGTTGATTTGTCAGGAAGTAGACTTCCCGGTGTTAGCGGTCTGGGGTGGGGAATAATCCCAGTGTGTGGCACCTTTGAAAAGTGCCTGAAAACCATACCATGGGTTGACCCACACCTTGTGAGTGAAAATATCATATATACACGTGTGTGTGAATGACTGCCCCTTGACTTAAAATCCATTAAAGATGGTAGTATGCTCCTTGAGTCTAGCCACATAGAGAAGTGAAAGTGGGACCATATCTGACCCTCCTACATGACTTTCATTCATGGGAATGTTTGTTTTTGGTCTTGAAATTGAAATCTAGTTAAGTCAACCACCTTAAATATCATGACAATTCTTTTTATGCTTCATCTTGATGGCTTTCCCTCCAAGACCATCTAAAAATATATGTAATAAAATTTGTATATCCAGTTTGGATCTGAAAAGACACACAAGTCTTTATTCAATTATTCATTATTCAATTAATCTTTTCAAAGTAATGTCTTTTGTATACTGCATATGAGTCAAGTCATGTAAATCCTTTGCTGGGTTGAAGAGCCACCTTAAAGCCAATTATTGTTTATGAGTTAACAACTAATTTAGCAACATATAATTAAATGAGACGGCAATCATCTGTAAAGATAATTTATATCTCATGCTAATCAGCTTGATATTTTTCACAAAAGGTACTGTAAGACAATCTGTAGATGCACTCTTGAAGACAAAATATCAAATGTTGACCTCACTAAGTGCAAAATTGGAAACCTTTATACTTTTCTCCTGCAACTACAACTGAGGTGGGCTGGCCATGTTATCAGAATGTGTGACAACAGTAACTAAAGTCCTCATGTGTAGTCAGCTTAATTCTAGAATAAAGGAACTTTGATAGGTCATTTCTCAGATATAATGTCATTCCAAAGTGCAAATTTTGTGACTGTCAACATGTCATATAAGAATCATTCAGCAGGGGATTTTGGATTGCAGTAAGTGAAGAGCTAGATTGTTTCAGTGACATCAAGAACTTTAAAACTGTCCATCTTTAATACCTGAGGGAAGCAAGGACAAAAGCATCTTCATCATTACCATACACCTTGTCTTGAAACTCTAAATCATGTACCACTTGTGGGGTTTTCTGTAAATCACTGGCAGGACTAAAAGGTCATATCAGGCGTAAGTATCTCAACTAATTTACTTGTTGGATGTATGAATTTGACAGGTGATATATATATATATATATATAGGACTAATGGAAATTCTATGGTGTATCTCTGTAATTTATGAAAATATTGCTTTTTTTTGTAATTAGGAACTGAGAAAAATCCTGATATACTTATAAAATTTGATCTTAATAAAGGCAAAAAGTTTGAGCTGAAATCACTGCATATTTTTCATCAATATCAGTGGTTGGTTTTTGAGTTCAGAAGAAATCTTGAATGTTGACTTTCAAGGTAGGTTCTCCTGATTTGATATTTTGGTATGACCTAAATACTCTTCTAGTTTGCCTTAGTCTGGCATAAATGCCAATCTGAGTAAAAGTATCCATAAAATATTATCCATTCTCATCTGCCACCAGCCATCTATCTGTATTGCCAGCTAGTCATATATCTGTTGCCAGCCATCTATCTGTTGCCATCTATCTTTTGCCTGCCAGCCAGCCGTCTGTCTTGCCAGCCATCTCTATTTATCCATACATACACATGTGGATATAAAATGTAATTCTATACTTAATATATTAGGTATGTGCAAATGTTTGAAGTGCCTTTTTATAAAAAGCAGAAACTGAATATGTTGGATATATATGAAGAAGTTCTGAAAAGGTTTTGGCTCAACCAAGAACAGATTGTAAAGAATGGTTGATTTTTGATTAGATATTGGTAAGTGGATTTGATCAAGAACTTTCCACATTCAATTGTAAGGAATAATTTCTTTTAAGTATGCAAAATATACTTACACACACACTAGCAGATTGAATTCATATATATATATATATATATATATATATATATATATATATATATATATATGAATTCAATCTGACAGAATGATTTAATATGGAACACCTTTATAAATTTTACATATTTCACTACTTTTATTTGATCCTTGTTCAAACATATATATATATATATATATATATATATACTCAAATATTGATGTATTTAATTTTTTTTTTTTTTTTTTTTTCTTCAAGGTATCTTCACAAATACAATAAGTAATGTGTCGGACCGATATTCCACTGGGATCACCCCCTCCAGCTGGACTTTCTCAATTTGGAGTGTCATTTATTTCTGGATGGCTCTGTGGATTGCTTACTGTCAAGTAGCCATCTTTATCAAACCTGGCGGTGACTACCTCTACAAAGATCCTGCATTCATGTCTTGTACGTTCTTCTTTCTCTACATCATCAACCTGTTCTTGAACATCATCTGGATTGTCCTCTTTGACCGGATTTATTTTATTGTCTGCTTCTTTGTAATCCTCTTTATGGTCCTTTCCGCCTATGCCTGCATTGGTATGTGCTCCTACTCTCTGGCTCAAAATCTAGATGAACTCACTGTCGAGAATTTGGGCTATCACATCTGGCTGATCCGTTTCCTAGTACAAAATGGCATTGCAGTCTACGCTACTTGGTTAACTGTAGCCACACATCAATTTTGACTTGGCCCTCCATTACAACTGGGGGATTGAAGCCAGCATGAGTGATTTGACAGCCTTGATCATTATTCTTGTTTTAGTTATATCTTGGTTTGCTTTAGATGTTGTTGTTCTTGACAGGTACACCAGATACCTGATAACTCCGTATATGGTACTAGTGGTTGCTTTCAGTGGTGTGTATGATAACCAGGTGGACACCACGAGCTTTGATCGTATAGAAATCCTAATAGTAACATTATTGGCAGTCAGCAGTTTTGGTTTGCTGATCAAATTCATGACCATGATCTGCCGACACTTTAAAAATGATGATGTTTTTTCTGTGGCTTAAGGGAATGGCGTGTTCTTGCCTCTTACATGAGTGTTGTCTTGTACTTTCCTTTCATTATTATTGTACAAATTTCTGACTGTCTTTCTAAAAGTAAGATACAATTTAGTCACTGACTCTGGACCAAGTGTTTGATAAAATATTATTGATTAACATTGCAACTTTTGTCCTTAATAAAAATTTAATTTGCCTTCAAGATGTACACACTGCTTTATCTGAGATTCTAAATTCAATTAAAACTTTTAGTAAATTTGATGATTGAATGAAATTTTATTGTTTTTTGGTTAATTATTTTATTTTGTTTAATAATCTATGACTTTCATGGAACCATGTTGAGTCCTTCTTGATAATGACCATCTTCTCTTGAGTCAGGTTGTAGTGAGTAACTATTGGGTTATCAAGAAATGTAGGTCAGATATGAACCTCTGACTTTTAGGATTTTTTTTTTTTTCACATATTTGATTAGAAAAACATTAAGGGTTAAAATGATCATTTTGATATGGAGGTATGTTTTTTTTGTTTGTTTATGTTTTTTGTTTTTCTATTCCATTATTTTTATTTATATTAATTTTTTATTTGTTTTCTGTTTTCATATTTTTTTCTATTTTTCACATACTATATTTTGAAACTAGACAACTATATAGACAATTATATGGAAAAAAACAAAAACAAAGTTTTTTTTTTTTATTTGTTTTCATATTTCTTTTACAATTTTTGTTTTTTCCATAGTTTTTTTTTTTTTGTTTCTATATTTTTTTTTTTTAGTTTTTTTTTTTTTTTTTTTGTTTACCTGCAAAAAAAAAAAATTCATGATTTGTACATCTGCTAATCTTAAGATAAAGGATAAGTTATTGTAAAAAAAAATAAAAATCCAAAAGAAAAGAAAATTGTTGGATGAAATATTTGATTTAATTTCAGTTCCTCTTGACATAATCTTCAAAAGAAAATGTGAAATTTTGGGAAAGATTTAAATAATAAAATTCTTAAAGTAATTATTCTTGTTAATCAGATATTGATGTTTTCAAGAAGGTTGATTTTTACCAACATTCATTAAGTTATAAACACTTAGCAAAAATGTAATGCCAATATAACCATAATTGTTTTAACACTGAAAATAGTTTTAAAAAAATCATGTGCAAAAATATACTGATGTTGTCCTGCCCAAAATTCTAGATAATTTGGCCATTAAAAGAGATGTTTTAGATGCATTGGGATTGTGCCCAATGAGATTTCTGACAGTATTTTCAAGATTCCAGGCATTGCTAAAATTTTATGGATCTGACTGTTGAGTTTATCCTCTGATTTTGCATGCACTCAGTCATGTCAAAATAATGCCCTTTTATCTGGGATTTTCTCTTGAATGTAATTGTCAAGTGGGAAGATCTGGTGAATAGGAATGTGACAGATTAGTGTAATATTTTTGGAAGCTAAAAACTGCTCCAAATGTGAGGGTAAGTGTACAGACACTTTAGAGAATTCAGTTCTTCTTTTGCACATTTGTACCAAATGCTTTTTCTTAGATTCTTCAAAAGCTCAGTAAAAAAGAAAATAATGTCACTTACAATTTCTATAAAGGAGATGGATTTTCAAAAAAAAAAATGACATCAACTTGATGTTCTTTTGAACTTAGCATTGTTTTACTTTTTAAGGCATTTCATGTAATGAAAGAAATAATTTATTTAATTGATACTATGCTATAATATTCTTCCAAGTCAGTCAGAAATATTCCGCTTGTGGTCTGCAATGGTCAAAATTATAAATTTTCTTTTTTTTATCATTAAAAGCATTAGTTGTAAATTATGAAAAATAAAAAACAAAAGCAAGCAGAACAAATTCATCTTTTTATTAAAATATGAAATATTTTTTATGAATATTAATTTTGTAATCATCAGAAAGCAATACAGCTGCAGAAAAAATGTGTCTATTTATGTGGCAGACTACTAAGGCATTTGATAAGCTATGATACAAAGATCTATTTTGACCAACTAGGAAATCTTGGTAAAGAGAGTTGAATCATTTGGAACTTACACTGGGAACAAATTGCCTGCATACAGATAGAAAAGGAATTTAGTAGGTATGCAAAAATAGAAAGAGGGCATAAAACAATGAGTATCTGGCTTACCAAATTTATGAAACCTTTATTTTTATTCCCTCAAGTTAACTCAGACATTCATGAGTCTTTTGCACCAACCATTAAAGTCCTGCCTTAGTCATTGGGGAGGCATTCCATGTCTTACCATACCTGGTTCAAAGCACATGGTTGCTTGGCAAACAACTTGTCTTGGTCCATGGCTAAGTGTCCAGAACAGTAGATCACTTACAAATTCTTGAGGTTTTCTGATAGATCAGAAACCTGATTCAACCTTTACAGAAAGTGAACTAGAAGTCCTATCAGGATTTATCAGTGGGCACAATCTTAACATAAGATCTGTACATGACACTATATTGATGGTATAAATGAAAGGAAAACTGCAGGAACTCCTTAGCAAGGTAGTAAAAGAAAGCAAGAAGAAAGGACAATCTGTCAAATGTAAGACATAATGTATGGTTGTCAGCAAGAACAGATTAATAATATAGGATATTAATAATAAAATAAAATAGTAAATCCAATATTTTTATAATGAAAATAACTTTTCTGATAACTAGGGGATCTCTAATTTGTTTTTTAAGAAAACAAATTCAATTTGTATACAAGTTGAATTCATTAAAATTCCACTGAAGATTGGAAATAAGACATCCTGAAATTGGATAAAGGAATTATTTTATTTTCACTAAAGTGTGTGTTAAAACAAAAATTTTTATAAGAAGCTTAAGAACACCTTCCAGTTTCATGCATATGTAACATACAAATATAAATGAGCTGATAATGATTTAGTCGGTGGTGGTGGTGGGGGGGTCTTTACTTGGAATTTAATTGACTTTTTATTCAGTGGTCTGCCCTATTGAGGAAATTCAGATCTATAACTTTTCTTCCAGGAATAATCAACATTTCCAAGATCCAACTTTACAAGCAAATGCTTTTCTTTTTTTTTCCCATTCCACTTCCAGACAACTGGTGGAATTGGTTGAAAGAACATTTGACCTCCATTATTTTGGCTTCTATACATTACTTTAAAAAAACATTACTTTAAAAAAACATTACTTTAAAAAAACATTACTTTAAAAAAACACTACTTTGGCTACTATATGAAGTCAAATATCATTTAAAGCAAAATCCTTTAATACTAGGTCAATATTTTTGCATGGCCAACTTTCTCCATATAGTGATAATAGTTCAAAAAACAATTGTTTGATGAACAAGACTGTTATTTTAGCTACTCGCAAACTCAGTTGGGGTTTCCAAGAGAAATCTTTTTTCCTGGAAGACTCTTTTTGAAATAACCTTTCCAAGTTCTCTATTGTGCTTTGATGTTAGTTTACATAAGTATCTAGTTACATATTGAGCCTGTCTATTTCTGAGATGAGGTATTATGTACAGTATTTACATTAGTGGGACTATTGTCCTCATCTTTGTTGCCATATTTGTCACAACGTTTCGGCCATTGTACGCTCCGGCCTTCTTCAGTTGGTTGGAATTTCGAACTGAACCCCTTATTTCGATCACTGGGGTAGACTGTCCTGACACAGTTATCTCCTGCTAATTTTCCCTCTGAAAGTTCTCCACTGCCTTAACCAGGTATTGAACTCACCTTCTTTGGATCTGTCACTGGATCTAACCAATGGCTTTATCCACTGTGCCATGTGTCAGGACAAACATGGCACGTGAAACTAGAACAGTCTGCCCCAGTGATCGAAATAAAGGGTTCAGTTCGAAATTCCAACCATCTGAAGAAGGCCGGCGCGTACAATGGCCTAAACATTGTGACAAATATGGCTACAAAGATGAGGACAATAGTCCGAATAATGTAAATACTGTACATAATACCTCATCTCAGAAATAGACAGACTCTGATACCATTAATATTATGAATTAATAAAACTTAGCAATGAATATACAGTTTCCTCTTTTTTTATTGGAATTTGTTTTTTATTCACTCTTTCAATTCTTCTTGCTAATTTTGATTTCACTTTTCCTTGGTTGGCCCAATCAGAAAAACTCCTATTAAACTAAAAAAACTACTCAACAAAAAACATTTGAAAAGAGGGCACTACATGCAGAAATATATATCAATTGTATGCAGTTGTCAATGACCTGGGCCAAGTTTCAATTCTAGCATTTGTAAATAGAGTAAAGATAATTCTTTAAAAATCAAGGATCATTTTGACACTGCATTATTATTAACAGGATCTCTTTTTAAAATGATGAAAAAAAATCAACTTTTTTTTTCAATTCTGATAAATATCATTCGGAAGTTTAATGAATGTTAATCAACTAAAATTAGTCAAAGAAAAAAAAATTTCCTTATTTTTAATGAGTGGTCCAGTTTTCATCAATAGTGTAAAATATAAATAAAAAAAAAAAAGATATCTTGAAAATCAATAAATAAAAAAGAAAGGACTTAAATGTCCAGAAAACCATCAAAATCTGAAATTAAGAAAAAATATTCATTGCATTTGTACAATTTTAAGTCAACTTTTTTCTACTGGAGGAGAGTAGTCTCCCCTGACATCCAGTGGGCTTACTGGTTTTTAGTATAATTTTTTTTTACATTGTGTATATTAACTATTATCCATGGAT